TTTGCTAGGTATCGAGAGGATAGTTTCTTAAAGTATCTGAAGAGTGGGTTTTTTTTTCCTTTTAGTACTGTAAAAATTTCATTCCACTTTCTCCTGTCCTACAAGGTTTCTGCTCAGAATTATACTATCAGATAAATTGAGACACACTTGTCTGTTATTTATTTTCTTTTGCTGATTTGAGAATATTCTCTTTAACTACAAATCTTTGAGAGCTTGATTATAATATATCTTGTGTATACCTGGTTGAATAAAATCTGATGTATGGTTTTTGATCATTCCATACCTGAATAATTGTATCTTTCTCTAGGTTTGAGTAGTATTTATTATATCTTTAAGTAAGTTTTCTTCACTTTTGACATTATCAAGTCTTGCTTGAATCCCAATAAACCTAATATTTTCTCTTTAATCATGTCCCAAACTTTTCAGAAGCTTTATTTTCTCATAATTCTTTTCCTTCTATTCCTACTGTCTATTCAAATAGCCTATGTTCAAGCTCACTAACTCTTCTGCTTGACCTATACTGCTCTTGATGTCTTCTATGTTTTTAATTTCACTTAATTTAGCTTTCAGCTCAAGAATTTATTTTGTTTGTTCCAATCTCTCCTTAAGTTTCTGTCAGCGTACTGGATCATGCATTTGTGTTTTCTTGAGGTTCATTAAGTTTCCTTAAAACAGGTGTTTTAAATTCTCCACCTGAGGGCTGGGGACATAGCTCAGTTGGTAGAGTGCTTGCCTTGCATGCACAAGGCCCTGGATTCAATCCCCAGCACCACAAAAAAAAAAAAAAAAAAAAATTCTTCACCTGAGCATTCATCCCTATTGGGAGCTATATATGGCCAGATTCTGTACTTTATTTTGACCTGTACATTAGGTCATATTTCCCTGGAACTTTTTGATGCTTCTTTGTGTGTGACATGATTTATGCATTGAAGGATTAGATATTTATTCCAACTTTATTAATATGGCTGTGTTTGTGTCTATCATTCCAGAGTTTCTAACCAGTGTTTGTTTGAGTCAACAGTCACTTCTCCTGTTTGAACACTAGATGGCAACCGAAGTCCAAGTTTGCCAAGAGTCCATTGTTATTGTGATGTAGCTGTTTTAGGGCAATCCAACATGGTATTGTCCTAAAATTTCAGTTGATGTGTTGTTTAGCATAAATTTGGGGAATATCTCAAAATGATAATCCATCACTACAACCCTTTCCCTGGAGTCAAGGTAGGCCCAAATGCATTGTCCATAGTCACTAGCCTGTGGTCAGGCACTATAAAGTTCTGATAGCTCTGGGCTCCTATTTCATGAGTGGGCACCCATTTCCCTTTTCCTCTCTCAATTATTCTTTCTGTATTGTGCTGCCTGGGTTTAGGTAGGAATGTGGTGGTCAGTCCAGTGACCCTCCATACCTCAAAACTTGATTCCACCTTTAGTCAATAGCCTGCCAATACCCCCACGTCAATAGGGCAGAAAGGACCAAGGACCATACAAATATAAATGTCAACTGCTGTGGAGGACCCATGGCCCCAAGACTGTTGCAACCAGTCACAGGTAAATTCTTGCTGTAATAAAACTCCAATAAACTAAAACATTCATATAGCTGGCATAGAGCTGTTATAGGCTCTGTGCATAGGCACTGACTTGGGCATATAGCTATTAGGATCTTGAGAGTGTTTGATTTTATTATTCTGACACTGAATTCCAAGTCAAAGTCCTGTCTAATTTTCCAAAATGGATCTCATTTGACATAATCTTGGGCACTATATGCTGCCCAAGGTTGAAGGGGTACTGGGGAAGGCAGTTTCTATGCCATCAAGGCTGATGCTAAGCTGGATCATACATAAATCTCACTGAAGTAGGGACCTACCCTGTCTTGTACAGGGGCATGACTCAGGCCTATTCCAAGGATAATAACCTAATGTAGGTTGAAACACGACACTATTCTACCAGGGCACAAGGTTTCATAGGTTTCTGCCTGACGTTGGGGTAGTTCTAGGGTTTTTATTTGTTAGCTCTGGGTTGAACATAGGGACCTTTGGTTTTCTTTCAGTATAGCTTTCACTGAAGTCACTATTAATACATCTCCAATAAATAATTAAACAAAATCTTAAAATATATATTTTATGTAGCAGAATAAAAATTAGAGCATAAATGAATGCAACAAAGAATTAAAAAAAGAGAAAGTCAACAATATGAAGAATTGATTTTTTGAAAAACAACAAAATTAGTAAGACTTTAGATAGATAAATTTAAAAAAAGATGACTCAAATAATAAAAATTTGAAGTGAAATAGAGATGCTACAATGGATTGCACAGATATAAAAGGCTTGTGAATAATTATCTTACAAAAAAATGGGCAGCATAGAAGAATTAGAAATATTTCTAGAAACATAAAATCTACTAATCTGGATCATGAAGAAAAAGAAAACAATTGGAAATACCTGTAACTATTAAAAAGAAGAGTTGGTAATCAAAAAACCTTCCAAAGAAAATCCCAGGACAAGATGACTTTGTTGGATAATTCTATCAAATATTTAATTATGAATTAACAATAACCCATCTATAACATTTCAAAAAATTTAAGGGGGAACACTTAAATTCATAATATTTTATTACCCTTACAAAAAATCATATGACAATACTACAAGAAAACTAGAATAATATTCCTGATGAATATTGGTGGAAAGACTATCCACAATATGCTAGTAAACCAAATTCAATAACATATTAAAAAGATTATACACTAGAAACATTTGATATTGATTACTGTAATGCAAAAATGTTTCAACATATAAAAATAAATCAGTGTAATAATCACATTAACAATATAAAGGTAGGAAAAGCCAAAGATCATGTCCATTGGTTAAGGAAAAATTTTGAAAATATTAAATGAAGAATAGAAGGTAATTACTTCAACAGAATAATAACCATGAAAGAAAAGCCCACAGCTAACATACTCAGTGTGAAAAACAGAAATCATTTCCTCTGAAAGTTTGAGCCAAAGATATCAAGCAAAAAAAGAAATAAAAGGCATATGAGCTGGAAAGGAAGAAGCAAAATTATCTTCATTCATAGATGACATGATCTTCTATGTAGAAAAATCTAAGGATTACACACATATACATACAAACTGTTCAGTAAACAAACTTAGTAATGTTGCAAAAGGTAAATGACACAAAACATCTTGTAATTTTATTTGTGAAACAGTCACAAAACACTGACATGAGAAATTGAAGAAGTTCCATATACTGAAAAGATGTCTATATTTATGGAATGAAACAACATTATAGAAATCCTCTAACAAAGCATAGGGCAAATATCTTAGGGCATTGTTTCTTCCACAGGCAACAAAGTAAAAATAGTGCAATAAATCCAAATTAAAAACTTCCATGTAGTAAAGGAAACATTAATCAGAGTAGAAAAATAATCTAAAAATGGGAGAAAATATTTGCAAACCATATTTTGAAAACAATAATATCCAAAATACATAAAGAACTCCTGGGGCAAAGGACTTGAATAGATACATCTCAAAAGAGGATATATAGCTCTTCCACAGGAGGCCTACACGCTGATGCTCTGCTTCCGCCATGTCTCTAGTGATTACTGAAAAGTTCCAACACATTTTTCGCGTACTCAACACAAACATCGATGGACAGTGGAAAATAGCCTTTGCCATCATTGCAATTAAGGGTGTGGGGCAAAGGTATGCTCATGTGGTGTTGAGGAATGCAGACATTGACCTCACCAAGAGGGCGGGAGAAATCACTGAAGATGAGGTTGAACATGTGACCCCCATTATGCAGAATCCACAACAGTACAAGATCCCAGACTGGTTCTTGAACAAACAGAAGGATAGAAATGATGGAAAATACAGCCAGGTTCTGGCCAATGGTCTAGACAATAAACTACGGGAGGACCTGGAGCAACTGAAGAAGATTAGGGCCAACAGGGGACTGTGCTACTTCTGGGGACTTCGTGTCCAGGCCAGCACACTAAGACCACTGGGCCCAGCGGCCGCACTATGGGGGTATCTAAGAAGAAATGAGTCTTTAGGCCTTTTCTGTTAATAAATAGTTTATATACCGATGGCAAAAAAAGAAGATATATAAATGGTCAAAAAGCATATGAAAAGGTGGTCAACATGATTACTCATCAGGGAAATGCAAACCAAAACCATAATGAGATATTACCTCACACCCAATAGGATGGAAGCTATCAAAACAACAAAATGATAACATGAAGGTAGTAAGTATTAGAAACAATACGGGAAACTGGAGCCCTCTTGGTGAGGTCAGTGTTATAGTTGGTGCAATTGTAAAATGGCCCAATCACTACACAAAAGCAATGTGAAACATCTTCAAAAAATTAAAAGAAAATTACCAAATGATCTACTAATGATATGCCATAGAATTTTCTTAATCCTCTAAAAAGAAAAAAATACTGTCACATGCTATAACATGCTCAAAAATTGAGCCTATTTTTTTTAAGTAAACCAAGCCAGTCACAAAATAAATCCTATGTGATTCCATTTATATGAAGTATTTAATGCAGCAAAACTTTTAGAAAGAGGAGTAGAACAATGGTTGTCAGGGACTAGAGTAGGAGAAAAGGGAGTTGTTAAATGGATATAGATTTAATTTTGCAAGACAAAAAGTTCTAGATACTGTTGTGAACAGTGTGCTTATTTTTAACACTACTGTACTGTGCACTTAAAAGCGGTTAAGATGTTGTGGGGTTTTTTTTGTCATAAAAAAGCACATGAAAAATTAGTTGTAAGGTTTTCATAATAAGTAATAGTTTTAATTATATCTCAAGCAGTAAAATATATAAATGTATATTTTAAATGTACTTAATTTTAGATACATGTGCATATCAGTCACTTTTGCTTACATTTCTAAAATGTTTATTACAAATTAAATATATATGTTTTGTTATAAGCAATGGTATCTACTCAACAAACATTTTATGTAACATAATCTGAAAGGAAAAGAAAAAAAATAGCTTACCTTTCGTGCAAGCTGTGATTCTTAGGGGCCCTAAGTAGTGGTGCTCCCATTACATGACCCACACCATATCCCAGTGTTGATGAAGCATCCCCAAAACCTAGAAAATGAATACTGAATATGAAGCAACTTTACAAACCAGCTTTGTCATGAGATAAGAATGACCTAAATGGATTACTTCTGTAGTTTTTTTTTTAAAATAACATTCTGTGTTAGTCCAGAGAAACAGACTAATAAAAGATGTTTTTATATATAGGAAGGTAGAAGAGAGAAAAATAAAAGAGAGAAAAAATAAAGAGATTTTAAAGAATTGGCTTATATAATTATAGGACTGAGCAAGTGACAAATTTGTAGAGTAGGCCAACATGCTGCAAATTCAAGTGAGAGTTGACATGGCAGTCTTGAGGTAGAATATCTTCTTCCTCAGGAAACTTCAGTATTTACTGTTACAGAATTAAATTAATTGGGTCAGTCCTCTCCACATCATGGAGCTTATCTGTTTTATTCAAAGTCTACAGATTATAACATCAATCACATCTAAACCAATATTATCATAGAAACATTTAAACTAATGTTTGAGCAAACAACAAGGTGTCATAACCTAGACAAGTTGGCACAAAAAAGTGACCATTACACCTATCATCCAATCAAGTATTAGAAACACTCAGGTAACTTACTTATGTAATTCATTATATCTAACATAATATATTTAATATAACACAAACGTATTTATATTAAATATAAACATAAATTTAGTATATTTCCCTTAATAAAGTTCTATAGGAAGACAATACGTTACACCATCACCTTTGTATACTTCACCTTAGCTGCCAGGGTGGAAGGAAGTAGAAATATAGTAGGCTTGCTGCTACATTACAAAGGAATGTATTTTAGTTGCTATTCAATATAATTAAAAATAAAACAAAAATATTTGCTGCCACTCTTAACATTAGTAAATGATTGCAAATATTTTTGGTGAAAGTAGATATAAATATGAATATCTTCTACTTTAGTTTATTAACATATTTTAGTAATTTATACACTTTTTTGTCTCTCATGGAAAATCATTATTCCAGTGCAAAATACTACTTAGTCACCTTCATATAAAGTATATAAAAATAATTTTGTATTTTTCCTTAAAAATGATATTTAGATAACTCTTTACAAGTAGATGATCTAAGCAGGATCAGAATTTATTTCAATATAAAAATGGATAAATTTTCCTGTGAAATATCTAGGGTTACTTATCATAGGACATAGAAGCATAGAATGCTATAAATAGGGTTGACTATATGATGTTCTATTAAATGGCATATCATTTGTCTCCTATGATGAACATGATTATGTTTTTAAATTATCTTAAATATATCAAAAGACCTAAAAGTGATTTTTGTTAAAAGAACTTAATACAACGATTATTTTCAGCACCACAATAAATTTGGTGCTAAAGAGGCATCTAATAATGTCCTATTCTCATTATGAACATAAGGCAACAGCTTCTCATCTGTATCCCCAGAGTTTAAAAGTAACAACTAATCAGGCAATTTAATCCAATGTTTTTTAGACTTTTTTCCTTGGAGAAATGAACATCAGCCTGTATAGACTGAACTGAAAAGATAGACAATAGATGGATGAATAACAGTTTTTATTATTTTAAAAGAACGCATGTTTCCATTTTTTTATATATTTTCAGTGACATTCAGATGACTTGTCTAGAATTTCAAATCTCAAGTCACTCTTCAGAATTAAGTGTTTCAGTGTGGAATTTTTTGTTTTGGTTTGGTTTTTGTAGTGCTGGGAATCAAACCCAGGGCCTCATGCATGGTAGGCAAGTACCCACTAAAGTACATTCCCAGCTTTCAGTGTAATTTTGAAAATAAGCATACAAGTTAACACTTAACATATATAATGTTATAACAGGGCCAATAGATAGTATTTTTGTATCAGTTGAAATATATATTTTAAAATGCAGAAAATAAATGGGCCAATAATATTAGAATCAGAGGAACTTGCCTAAATAGAAGCCAGAGGAGTGCAAAGGAACACTGTCGTCAAGGAAGGTAATTCCAAGGATATAAAGAGGCACTCCTGCTACTCCCAGCACAATCTGCCCGAAGGTGGAGAAATATACATATTTTGATTGGAATGATTCGGATCTGGTGCAAGCTTCCAGAATCTTCATTGGATTGCAAATATCTTTTGAAAAAGATAATTGTATTTTGTTAAATGAATTCAAAAGTTAAATATACCAGAAATATGAAATATTCTTTATCAAACATTTTTCTTCTACAATCTGTTGCCACCATTATGCTTTTATCTTTTAGATATACTTTATTTGTATTAAATGTAGTCCTATGATTAATCATATTCTCAGAAAAATGCTTTAATAAAAGAAAATTTGTGGGAATGCCAGAAGAGATGCACATATTGTAAACCAAAATTTAAATGTTCACACATGATTGTATTCACACAATTATATGTGCCTAGACATTTTTATACATATACATTTATACACAATATAACAAATATTACAGTGATTTCCTATTAATTTTGCATCCTGTTCCACAAGATGCAAACTTCTAATTTTCTGAATCATTAAAGCTTACTTTCTGAGTTCAGTTCTATATTCATTTCTTTAGTGATCTTTATATTTAATTTGTCATTCTGATAAAATAATGTCCCATTTTAGACTGACTAACTTCTAGAACATAGGATCATAAGGACAGGATATAACATGATAAAAATTTCTTGTTGTTAAGAGTTATTATAAGGTCATTCATCCATGAGATTTAAAGATCCTTTTGTTCACAGGATAGTTCTTATGATTTTTTTTAATTCATTAGGTTATAAAAAATGCTAAATAAATTTTTGTGTGATTTCAATTGTTATTTTACTTTGGTCAAGTTAGGCAATTGTTACTAAATCATATTGTTATGGTTGAAATTTAACACAATTTAACACATACTTTCAAAATATTTTGAAAAACCTAGTGAAGTACAGATTGCAATATGGTATAACATCAGCTTTTCATCTGACTTAGTTTCCATGGAATGATATTTGACTCCATAGCAAATGGGAAAAGGCAACATTTAATTGTGATTAAATGTTGATGGTTCATTTTACACAGACAAATTGACTTGCAGTAATAACAGTATTAGTTTGGAATATTTGCAACATGCTTTTTAATTTCTCGAACTCCTGTTGTTTATGGAAGCCTACCTGCCTTAGGATGCTCATTTTAAAAGTCAAATCTAAGTAAAAACTTTTCATAATTGGATTTTCAAGCATCTATACTCTAATCATCCCTATCTTCCCAGCTCACTTATTTTTGCAACCTTATTTCTGTAGTCCTTAAATCTCATCAGGACTGGTAATCTATTGACCCTGCTCCTTTTCACTAGCCCAGTGTCACATTCCTTCTATCATAATCATCTCAACCTCTGTAGTCCTTTGCTATCTTTTACATCATGCAATCCCTTAGTAAAATTGCAACCCTGGTCAAATTACTTTTTTCCCTACTCTATATTTTCATTTTGAAATTGGTCATGACTGGAGAAAAACACACATCCATTAGAAATCCCACACTGAATTCATGATAAATAAATTCAAGGAGGTCCTTCAGGCTCCTGATAATCATAAAATCTGTCCCTGCCTTCTCCTAGAAAATTCAACTTGTTCATTTCCCTTCTCCTAGGGTTCATACTCCCAAGCTTCCTGTTGACTAATAGAAAGAAGCTAATCTTTTAATGACATTCATCATATTAAAATAAATAAATAAACAAACATAAACTCTATTTAGGACTATAAACTATATGGCTATGGCAAATAGCAAGCAAAAGAGAATTTCAAATAGGAAGGAACAATCAATATTATGAAATGCTGATGAAAGTTCAAATCAAAACACATAAAATTTCATTATATTAAATAGCATGAATTACGTTTGTGAAAATAATTCTGTTGCAGTATTTAGAGTGGAAGCCATGTTAAAGTGGACTGAAGAAAGAATGGGAGATTAAATCAGAAAGCAAGTACAATTCTTTCAGAAAACTCACCTGTGAAAATCAGGAGGTTGAGAAAAGTGATGAAAAAGAGGACTACCAGTTATGTCTATTATTGCTGATATTGTTTAATACTAGGAAGAAACTTCAACAAATTACAGTGCCAAAGAGTGGGATGATTGAGAAGAAAAATTTGCAGAAAAGCGGAGAAGGAGATCACTAAGAGGAATAGTTTCCGGAGAGGCAAGGGAGCACAGAATGGTTAGTAGAAGTCATACCTTTATTCCACAGGAAAGAAGAAGAAAAGAATATCAACCAATGAATACATGTGGAATTATAAACCCTCTGAAAATAAATTAAGGCAGTTTTCCTTTATGAAAGTGTACTTTCCATCCAACACAGAACATCAGAGTTAAGTGAGGAAAGTCTAAACTGCTTGTGAATTTGGAACACTGTTTTCAGGTTGAGCAGATCCATTTGAGAGCAAAATGAACAACTGAGGTTAACATCAATGAATTTATTGTAGGATTCATAGGCGGCAGTCTAGTTATAGCTAAAGGAAATTTATGTGGTTCAGTGAAAAGCCTTTCCAGCCAGGGACAAAAACAGAAAAATGAAAAAAGAGAGCTTAGGAATTTGATTCAAGTGTACATAAAATACTACTATTATTTCATGTTGAGGAGCATAAGACAAGCTACAAATGAAGGGAAATTATAATGAGGATCTGACAAAGAAAGTAGGTGTCACTTTCCTGGAGGTCCCAGTGAATTTTGCCTTCAACATACGACTAAGTAGGAAGAAGTGGGGGTGTAATATCAGAGAGCTGGATAATACATGCTGAAGAAGTTCTCATAATAGTGACAGTGCACTGATACCAGGGCACATGTGGATGGTCCCTGAAATATAAAGCTTTAGTAACTAAAGATGAGAATGTGGAATAAGTGTTTCCACGAGTTCATGAAGAAAACTCAGTTCTACCTTTTCAAGGATGTGTGAAGTACAATATCTGCATGCTGGTTGAGGCACAGTCTTGGGGATTGGCATGTCATCAGTAGAGATATCTGTGATAGGCATGGTAAGCAGAGCCAGGGAATAGGAAATGCTGGTGAATGGGAGGCACAGCACCAAAGAGGTTCAGACCACTCAAAAGGGAAGAAAAGCAACTAACTCAAAGGTACACAGAGGACATAGTAGGAAGATATTCAGACAAGACAAGAAGGATGTGGGAAAGGGACAGAACAAAAGAATACAGAACTCACTGTCTGTGTGTGTACGTGAACTAGATATGAACTTAGAGTTAAAAGTTGTTATTTAATAAATAAACTTTCAAATGCAATAAGAAAAATATCTGTTTAGACAGATGCTTGAAGAGAGCACTTCTACAAATAAATTTATTTCTCTTTTATTCAGTTTATTTCAACTTCTGTGGTATCAAGCAGAGTCACCCAGTAAATGCATTATATATTATTATGTGAATTGTATGCATCTAATCACAAACAAAAACTAAAATATATTATCTACATGGTATAAACAAGACATAAAAGGAAGAAAGATCATACTGCTTTACTGCCATGACTCCTACTGAGTACTGATCAGAATTTTTACTATGTATAAAGCAACTGTTTCCTAAGGTTTTATTCTTCTGAACAGAATAAAAGTTAAAGGAAAGTTAGGAATGAAATGTTTTCCATTCCCTTCTTGCCTTAAGTCATTTTCTCATTTAACCATAAGTCTGTTCTATAAATATAAAAAAGGCATAATTTATATTTCTTATATTGATATAAATAAATTATACAGCATATAACCATATTTATATATTACTTTTGTTGTATTAATATGAACTATTTTTGAATTTAATATGCTATAAACACACATCATAAATATACTATAAAACACTCTGTACATATCACAAGCATTTATACACTTGTACAGTACACAGAGACCTCCTCTTACCTTTTTTCACTGTCTTGCTGAACCCAGTTTAAAGTTGCCAAAATGGGCAAATGCATTCCATCACATATATAAACCTGTACATGATAAGAAGGAATCTGATACAGTACTGTCATAAAAAATTCAAGGAAACTTCAAATGCCTTTTTCTGGTGGGAATAGTAAAAAGATGGTAGAATAATTTTTTAAAAAAGATGAACAAAGGGCTGGGATTGTGGCTCAGTGGTAGAGCACTTACCTAGCATGTGTGAGGCACTAGATTCAATCCTCAGCACCACATAAAAAATAATAATAATAAAGCTTTGTGTCCAACTATAACTAAAACAAACATTTTAAAAAAATAAACAAAGGGAAGAGGCCACCACCTTTCCCGATTCAAGTACTAAGTCAATGAGCAGGTCCCATTTTGAAATGATGAGAGTAACTACAATAACCTTTCTTTATTTGTGTGTAGGCTTGTTTATATTTGAGCTTGTGTGTGCATTTGCATGTATGTATGTCTGTTGAGGCGAGAAGGAAGAGATTAATTAAGCCATATTGTGGAAGACAAAAGGAATCATGAAAAATTCTCAAGAGATTCATAGTTATATATATGAAAATTAATAAAAGAGAAATAATCTCATAAAGTAATTATTCCAAATGTTCTTTCCTCTCCTTCCCAAGCCCATTAGTTAATATGAAGGGTATATGATCATGACATATCTGTTCACTAGGAAACTTCAAGTAATTAGTCAATAAACTTAATTATATAAATCAATATCAATGTATCGGTATATAAACAGATAGGCATCATAGACTATTTCGAGTCCCCGAGCCAATGATTTAAATGAATATTGATTTGAGGCACAACAGTATATTTGAAAATATTACCTGAAACTTCTTCCTCTAAATGAAGATTTTCATCACTCAAGTATGGATAAGCAAGTAAAAATGATGCAACTCCTATTAAAAAGGAGGACAGTGCAACCCATCTTGGTCTGTTTCCTCTTGTTCCATAATATGCTACAAATATTGCTACCATGCAAGAGGAAACACCATAACTGAGTTTCAAGGCTAATTTCTGCATGATTCTCAGAGTGTAGTGCTCTTGAAAACTGTCAGCGCTCACGTCTATAAGACCAAAAATAATACCTAGAATATAAAAAGAAAAATGAAGACAATGATATGCATCTAAGAAACAAAATACGTCACATTATAAACATTTCAAAGCAAACTTAATTTATATTGATTTACCTTTATTTTACATTCTTCTGAATGTTTAAAATCTATAGACATAATTAGTGATTATTTTTCTGACACTAATTGGTGTTAACTTTTAAGAAATATTTGCTAGCTGCATTTTAAAGTTACTTTTTAACTACCTCTATGAGTAATTTCTTGAAGATTATTCTTATTGTATTATTCAGTAGAACTGATCTTTATTTTAGTGTGTTACATTTCAATTATTAAAACATTTATAAATACCTTAATGAATGTTTATCCACCATCTAGAATTGAAAATGTAATGCTATCAGAATTGTTGAAACCAAACATAATTCAAATTCATCTATGTCTCTCCCTTCCATAACCGGCTTTCTGCATTTGAAGTTTACCATTTCTGTGTACTTTCACAATGTACTTATTCAATGTAAATAACACAGGGTATTGAAATGGTTTTATACTATGTGTATTTCTATCATTCAGTGTACAAATAATCATGTTAAGTTTTTTAGCCAAAAATAAGTTGATATAGGCGGGAAATGGTTCCAAAAGTAATACATTTATTGGAATGAAAGGGAAAGTGGTTACTAACTAAAACTCAAGATAACCCTGAAAGATTGCTTAAGCACAACCTTATGCTATGATGCTCCTGTTGGAACAGCACTCACTACCTTGTTTTTCAGGAAAACAGGAGCCCACATTCTTCCTAATGTTAGGCAAACCAGCTCAGTCACCTCCTGCTTCTGCTGCTCTTGCAGGTGCCAGAGACAGACCCTGTGAGCACAGTGCTGCTGAACAGTACTCCATTGCTGCTGATGGAATCACATTAACTCCCAAATTTAAATCCAGGAATTTTCAATCATCCAGCATTGCTCCTTTGCTAAAACCACCAACAGAAGCAGAAAGTACTAGAGGCTTCCCATTGCCCCTTTTTACATCTATTGCCACAATCCCTTCAGTGGCAACATCTAGGTGAAATAAGACAGCTTTCTCTGGGCATGTCGTTTTTACACTCACTCTGCCAGTCCACTTGTAAATAGGAGTGAGTTCATGAGGGGAGCTTATAGCCCCCAGGCAAAAATTTTGCAGGGCTTTCCCTTGAGCCTACTTGGGACTCATTTTCACACTTCACTGCATATTTAAACCTCCATACCAAATAAATAACAATATCATCCTGGTTTTGCCTAACATTTTTCAACTATCAGTCATACAAAGATGCTCCCCCAAAAAACACACAACCTAATTAGACACCACATTCATCTCAGGGTAATAATTTTAGTCACAACCCTGAGAAGATTCCTTTGGCCTAAAAACAAAATGGCAATGGTAACTGCCAATAATAAAGCGAATATATCAGAGGCTTAACTAAATTTGTGAGGAATTCCACTGCCAAAGAAACCTCAAGACAGACTTTCAGCTACAATTAGTTTAACAGACCAATACCATCAGAAAACATGATAAAAACTTAACTGCACCCAGGAAAGGAATTTTCTTCAACTCTCACTGTAGATGGGGCCATGGAGGATAATGGCCAAGACTAGAAATATGTCCTGCCAGTAATTGTGACCATCTCTTCAGAGGCAGTATTAATTTGCCTTTTAATTCACACACATTCTGTAACTTACACACAAATTTTTAAGGTTGTCTACTTTATGTAAAGTATAAACAAAAGAATAAAATGGGAAGGAGCAAAATAAAAAATTGGAATATATACATATGCAAACATATACGTGTACACAAAAAATGTATACAGGATATGTTTGTATGTATATGAATAAAAGGAACAAAAAAGAGAAAATATATCACGGCTATAATTTTTATTTCACCAAATGGTTATAAGACCGCAGTTGTATTAATAACTTTCTTCTCCCTTTACTCACCCTTTTTTCTACTGCTTGATCCCAAATAACATGATTAGTTTGCTATTTCCAAGCATACACCTTATCCTATGAGACAGCATCTCAAATTTGTTGATTTTGTCTACCAGTTATGGTGTCTTGTGAGTCTTCAATTAAGCTATTATAATGATTGAGACAAGAGTTTCTGGTTATTGAGATAAGTTGGAAGGTCAGTGAATTCCATGAGCATGAACCAAGTGCTCTACCTCTTTTGCTGTAAACTGAATTCTCAATCTGATGCAAAATGATGGTAAAATATTATCAGAAGATAGATAAGACATTCATTAAGTCAAATTATGGTAATGCTTACAGATCCCTGGTGTCAAAAGCAGAGCTCACATCCAAATAAGATCTGTTTTAGTGAGGACACATCATTGCCCACTCAATAACAAAAGCAGAAATATATAATCAACTTGCCTCCAGGTGTCTGGTTGCTTTCATCAAGGAATGGGGTTATTTCCTAAATTATGCTGATTTGTTCTTGATTGAAGTGGCAAGACAGGCTTTTGGCAGTGCAATACCCAACTCAACTTTAGTAATGGTAAAGCCTTGCATGCAGCTCTTACATATCCTCCATGTTTGATGCAAATGTCACGATAGCCAAGAATTTACCAAACAGAAGTAGAATGGCTAAGGAAAGAGACTGGCTAATAGTCATAGATGTTTATCTACCTCATTATTGAGTGTTCTCTTTAATGGATTTTTCTTTTATGTTCTTTTCTCCTTTTTTTTTCTTTTTTTTTAGTAGTAGTAGTAGCAGGCATCAAACCAAAGGGCACTTAAACACTGAGCCATATCCCCAGCTCTTTCAATTTTTTGTTTTTTTAAATTTTGAGGCAGGGTCTTACTAGGTTGTTTATAGCATCATTAAATTGCTGCCTCCGAACCTGCAATCCTCCTGACTCAGCCTCCCGAGATGCTGGGATTACAGGTGGCACCACCACCCACAGCAGCCCTAATGGAATTTTTTTCTTGATATTTAAACAGGACAATTCTGTCCATTTGGAGACATGCATCACTTATTCAGCATTCTATTCATCAGAATATTCAAACTCACAGGGAATGGTCAGTATGGTATCTAGACAATGTGAGTTCTTCCTCAACATAGAAATATTTTCAAAGCACAATTAAGAGATTTCTAAAATAAATGTCAGATGCCATTCAAGCATTTATAGTTTAATTTGTTTAATTGCTTTCTTGATTTTGGAGGGATGAATTTAAAAATAATCCTATTTTTAAGTGTTGTTTTGGTAATTACAATTGAACAAAAGCTTCTAATATTTGAAATATAAAGTTATTCATTTTTAAATATTTCAATTATGTATTTATTTCCAACTGGTTTTAAACAAAACTGAAACCAAAAGTTAGAGGACTTATTTATAAGACAGTTAAAAATCAGTATGAGACTCTGAAGTTGATTTATGAAATACTTATCCAAAGATCCAACAATTAAAAAATTTCTTATTCAGAAGGAAAAGACAGGTAACATATAACAAGATGAAAATATATATATATATATATATATATGTATGTACATATATATAAAATTGTGAATAAATAATTTAAATTTTGATGTAAAATGTCACAACCTATTATGAAGCAATTATGAATACTTTCTTAAATTATGAATGATTTTTTTACATATTCAAATCACATTTGTACTTCACAGCTTTCTTAGTTCTGGAAAAACATTATTTTTTCCATGGTATTGTGAAACAAAATTCTTAGTACTTTTATTGCCACAGCAATGAGTTAATTCTATCTCTGAAGTAAAAATTTATAAACCTGTAATAGCATTCACAATAGTTATTTATTTATCTTCAACAGAATTAATTTTCAAAGTTTTCTTAATTACAAAAATCAAATACTAACTGGAATAAACTGATTTTTCTATTTCAATTTCCTGATGGCAATATTTAACATTTTGAAAGATTATTCAGCAGATTTGTATCATTTGGTTTTCTTGTGGTTGGTTAATATTAAACATGGCTCTTTGATGAATGGTAAACAACAAAACTTTACATGTCTTTGCCAACTTTCTTTTAATAACTTTGGAAGTCATTATGCCAAAAATTTTATTAGAAAATAAAAAGCATTGCCAAACAACAAAATCAATAAATCATGATGAAGTACACAGTACGATAATGAAAACATCATAGTAGCAAGAGTGCTTACGTTATTTTTCATAGAGTTTGTAATTGTGCCTTTCAGCTCTTACCTCCTACAGATACTTCAAGTACAACTAAATTATAATTTCAAGAGTTCCCTACTGCCCTTACCAAGAGACAGGCAGGCAACTGAATGCATCTTACAGGTTGCAGCATACACCAGGGCAAGTCTGTCTGACATACCCAAGTGGATGGCAGAACCAGCAGCACCAACTACTCCCCCAATCACCCAGTATTGTAAGGAGGTAATTTTAGGCACTTCAGATCATTTCATTATCAGGAAAATCCCTTTACACTGTACTGAAAGGAAAATTTAATAACACCACATGTGGACAAAGCATAGGAAAATTATGGGTTATTACTACCAATCTCTTATTTTATTAATGTTTTAAATCTGTTCTTTTTACTGTCTTTTAGATTGAACCATTGACAAAGTAAGAACTCTATTCAACACATTTTAATTTTAATTTTTTACACATTGTAAAATTGTAGTGACACAACAAAATTGAAGTGACTTCTATCACCCCAGCTTATTAAGATAAACTAGTAATGATATTTCGTCAAAAGGGAAGGGGGAATAATTATGATAGGCAACTAGGACACAGACATAAACTGGAACTATCTTAGGCAAACCAAAAGATATATTCAGCCTATTTAAATAGCACATTAAATAGGTTCCCCATATGATAAGGCAATTAATTAAATGAAGCAAGGAATAATTTCATAATGATAAAGAACACAATCCTATCACAATGATTATCAATATATTAACACAACTGTCAAATCATTAAAATCAAGTAAATAAAACAAGAAAATACAAATATAAATAAAACAAAGAAAAAAATCAATAATTCTCAAAATGTTA